TGACCCATTCCCGGCGAAGCGCTTGCTTGAGTTGATCGACACTTTGGTATTTTTTAGTGCCAACCTTGCTTTCCAAAATACTCCAGACACAATAGTCCAACGAATTTGTATCCGGAGATTTTGGTGACCATTGTGCGCTGGAAATGAAGGAGGAACCTCATTTTGTAACCATTCTTGGGTGGCGCGTGCTGAGTGCGATGTTGCTGAGTCCTGTTGGAATGTCCAAGGTCTGCGGCCAAAATGTTTGTGTGCTCAAGGCTTTAATACACCCTCCACAATATTTTCGCGATAATATTCGGCATTTATTCTGATGCCACGGTCGATTAATACGAGCGGAGAACGACCATCGGCTGTTATGACGGCCCACACCATCACCATGGCCGGCGGTTGAGTTCTTTCTGGTGGCCAAGCGAAGGTGCACATTTTCAGCTGGCCTCTTTGGCAAGTAAACACGATCCTTTGGTTTGTTTACAAACTGCTAGACCACGAATGTTTTCTCAGCGGAGAAAACTTAATTCGGCAGTTCACCACTTTTGGCCAAGCGAAGCAACTCTTTAGCTCTTTTGAGTCTATTTTCTTTCTGTTGCGTTGTAAGTTCTTGCACTTTTTGGAATTTCAATGGCTTTACCGCGAACTCATTTTTCAATATCTGCCGAATAGAATCTTGCGATATGTTCAGCGCACGAGCCATTTTACGGCCACTGTGACGTGGGTTTCGATCGAACCGATCTTGATAAAATTTGGCATTATCTGATGGCCGGTATCGAATATCATTCTTGTGGAGTGCATATTACGAATACCAAATCGGATGAAACATATATATAAGAGCTATAGCAATATCTGAACCGATTTTCACTAAATTAGATTTACTTGTTTCTAGACTGAATTTGGTCGGATGTGCCAAAATTCAGGTCATTTGGACAAATATTAATCCGAAATCAGTTGAATATATATGGGAGCTATATCAAAATTTGAAATGATTCTCACCAATTTCAATAGGGTTCGTCCTTGGACCGAAAAAAATATTGTTTGGAAAATTTCATCTCAACTAGATACTAAAGGCGACCTGCATTTTGGTCACAAGAATACATGGATATACGGATGGACCGACAGACGGACTGACATGCAAAAATCTACTCAGAAAGTGATTCTATGAAGATCCTCAAAAGTAACTATAGGTCTATCTCGCTTCCTTCTCCCTGTTACAAACAAATTCACAAAGACACAATACCCTTACCACTATGGGTGTAGGGTATAATTAGAGATCAAATGTAGCCGAACAATTAATACAATGTATATACAAGTTTAATTATTTTTTAAATGTATCAACTTTTTTTATATTTTCTAAAACAAAACAGATCCTGGAGCTGTGCAATATGGAAACTTCATCAATTATTATCAATTTAATTCCGCAGAAGAACGTCTCAAACTGTTGCCTGCAGACCATTGGACCACTGACGATAACGCACCCAACGTGCCCTATCTTGTTCTAGATGTAGGCTGCAATTCTGGTGTTTTCACACAACTTTTACGTGATTATCTTAGCAAATTACTACCTCAACGTGACATTCTCATATATGGAGTAGATATTGACGATGCCCTAATTAAAAGAGCTAAAGCCGAAAACAATTGTGACGCAATAACATTTGAGTGTGTTGACGTTATGGACAATGAAGCTTTCGAAAAAATCAACGATTATTTGGCGAAACATCAACGATCGCATTTCGATGCAGTTTGTTGTTTTTCCATAACCATGTGGATACATTTGAATCATCATGACAGTGGTTTGCAGGAATTTCTACGCAAATTGTCTTCGTTGGCCAAGTTATTTGTTGTAGAACCACAACCCTGGAAATGTTATCAAACTGCAGAGAGAAGACTAAAGAAATCGGGAGAAGTATTTCCTTTATTTCCAGAGTTGAAATGGCGTTCACAGGTCGAAGATGAAATCCAAAATTATCTTGAACTGACATTGCAAAGAAGAAAAGTCTACGAATCGTGTCCAACAAAGTGGAAGAGAAAAATTTGTTTTTACAGATAATAAAAAACAAGATTTAGAAAATGGTAAAACAATTGTGTTTTTTTAAGTTTGTTGCTCTAGCAGTGATGTCGACCTAATGGTTTTAATAATCTAAATTAGATTCCGAGTTTAAATCCCACTATTCTCGAATAAAGTTCCCTCTTAGTTCAAAAATCGTATTTTTATACCCTCCACCATGGTATGGGGGATATATTAATATTAATTAATATATATATTGTTATTCCGTTTGTAACACCTCAAAATATACATTTTTGACCCCACAAAGTATTTATATTCTTGATCAGCATAAAATTCTATGTCCGATGCGATGTCCGTCTGTGGGAATCACTATAGCTTCCGAACGAAATGAAGTAGATTGATAACATTTTACTCAAATGTATATTATGTCTGCAGGACTTTTGGTATTGAAAATGGGTCCTGTAGTTTCACGTTTTGGTATAGCCCCCATATAACGGTTCCTCCCGATATTCAGTATTTTGATGATTTTAGCGATATTATTCAACGAAATTGTTTCAAATTTGGTATTTAAAGTTTGTAATGGATACTACAGTCTAAGACAGAAAATTGTCTGTGCAGGTCCACGTCCTCGCATAGCCCCCATATAACCTTACCTCCCGATATTCGGTATTTTGATGATTTTAGCGACATTATTAACCGGAATTGTTTCAAATTTGGTATTTGATGTTCGTAATGGATACTACAGTCCAAGACAGAAAATTGTCTGTGCAGGTCCAAGTCTTCGAATAGCCCCCATATAACGGTACCTCCTGATATTCGCTATTTTGATGATTTTAGAGACATTATTCGCCGATTTCTTTTTAAATTTCGCATTTAAATATTGTAATGGCCTATGACAAAAGTTACCTATGCAGGCCCATGTCGTGGTATAAACCCTAATATAAAAGCTATATTCGGTATTTTTAAGATTTTAACAGAATTTTTAACGGAATTTATAGTTTTTGAGGATTGGCAAATTCGATACAAATGGTGGAGGATATTAAAAATTCGGCCCGGCCTTACAGCCTTTTTACTTTTTATACCCTACAACACTATGTGTTGGGGGTATTATAAGTTTGATTGGGCCAAAAATTATGTAACACCTCGAAATATTGGTTTCCCACATAGGAAAGTATATATGGATCTTCCTAGCTCGCCGAGCTGAGTCGATCTAGCTATGTATGTCCGTCCGTCCGTCTGTCCGTCTGTCCATGTTAATTTGTAATCACTCTACAGGTCGCAATTATGGCCCGATCTTCACGAAATTTAGAATGTAGGTGGGGCTTGGACCAGAATAGAACCCTATTGCTTTTGGAGATGATCGCCAAATGTTTAGGGGTTGAAATGGACCAAATACTGAAAAAATGTCGGATTTTGCAGTAGCTATACAGGTCGCAATTATAGACCAATTGACGCGAAATTTCGCGTGTAGATAGAGTTTAGGGCGGGGAAGAAGCCTACTAATTTGGGTGGTCATCGGATAATATTTAGTGGGTAAAACAGACACTATCTTTTGTGTTGAAAAAAATCAAATTTTTTCATTAAACCGCGAATATTTTAAATCCCGGCGAAATCACAAAGCCATCACAAGGTTACTTCTGATCTTTACATTGGTGTTATTATCCAACAAATCGGATATATAGCAAAATATGTGCGATATATATGTTTATCAAAGAAGATATGCTTGAAAGATATCTTATATGTCGAGAACGGCTCAACTGATTTCGACAGTTCACATTAATTCAGAATGGCCTCTTGGCAGGAAAGAAAAAATGTCTAAAAAAATCGCATAAAAATATCTCTCTAAGATGAAAATATTGATTTTGTAAAATTTTTTCATATTTTTTCAATTTTGTCATATTTTTGGCATATTTTTATTTTGAATTAAACATTTGGTAATATTTCTACAGCTAACAAAACTAAGTAGTTAGAATATCAGGATATCATGTACAGATCTCATTTATGGCCCGATCCTTACGAAATTTTGCATGGGGATAAGATGAGGGTCAGAAGAGAAGCCAAAAAACTGCAAAATTGTCAGCAGGTCGTAATTATCGCCCGATCCTCACGCACATTTGAATAGGGGTTATCTCACATTGCAAAACCAAGCAGTTTCGGATGGCCATCCAAAAATATTCAATGTGTGAAGGAGTTTGTCAACTTTTATAGACAAAATACGAAAATGTCAATTCCAGTGACTTTTTGGAGAAGTCACAAATACAGGAAAGACGCACTTCCGACTATTTCGTTTACACTGATTTCGTTGAAGAATACAGTCAAATGTCTGTATCTCATATAGATGCGTTTCAGTCAAAAACCAATAATAAATTTTAATCTTTTGCCACATCTGAGAGGTTATAGGTCTTTGTGAAATATTGGTTCCAGATCTAGGAAGACCATTTACGTGCAACATCTACCAATAAATTGGAAATGAGCAAATTAGTTTAAGTTGCTATTATTCGAAAATTAGAGAACTAAACCTGATGGTTTTCTGTTATTATTTGTCACAATATCTTGTGGAATTCTGTCGAGTATTTCGCCTATATAAACTGTATGGTTTATTATAGTGTTGTAGGGTATTCAACGGTCGGCCCCGCTCGACTGTAGCCTTTGCTTACTTGTTTTTAATTTCTTTGATTCCCCCTTTACACAAAAACAAAGCACACATTTTTCATTATTATTTTTTTCTTTTTGTTTATTAATTTGTACACTTTTATACACTAATTAAAGATCCTAAAACACATTTGTTTTTCTTAATTTTTTAACCTTTTTTTCTGTTAATTTTATAGATTTTAATTATCATTTCTCTTAAATAACTTTTAAATGATTTATTTCGTTAAAAATAAACGTATGTATTTTTTAATTAAAAAATTTATAAATTTAAATCGAAAGAAAAAAGTCCATTGGGAGGAGAAAAGGAAAGGAATTTGGAGGGGGTTGGAAAATAAAACTAAAAATATAATTCAAATGTTCAAAAATGAAAACCTATTTTATTTTAAAAGGGGGAAACCAAGTATTTTTTTGGAAAAACGAATTATCTGTTGTAATTTGTTTTTGTTTCTTCACCTCGATTAAAAGTACACATACTTTATGAGAATAATTTTATAAAATATTAACAGTGATAAATTGTTTTGTTTTGGTTACTTTTTTTTTTTGAAAAATAATGGGAAGCAGATTTTCTTTGTGGGGAAGTAATATTTCAATGACAACTAGGAGGAAGGAGGAGGGTGGAATTTTTTCTTTTCAAAAGTAGAAATCTTCTTCGATAACATCTGTGGCATGACAATTGGTGCCGGTTATTACTTCTTCTCCTTCTTCGATATCTGTAACTACAACGTTATGCTGCATAACATTGGCTAATTCTAAATTATCCACAGTTGAAGATAAATGACGTTCTGGCTGTTGATCTAAACAAAGTCGCTGCTGCTGCTGTTGTTGTTGCTGATGGGATGATACTACTGATGTTGGCGGTGATTGTTGAAGCGTTGATGTACTGACTGTGGATGTTAATGCTAGGGTTGATGGTAGCGGCGACGTTGTTGATCCTCGTTGTAACGCCCGTATACTTTTTGAAGTATAATTTCACCCGGCCACTTCTTCGCCGGCAAAGTCCAACTTAACGACATCTCCGGGCAAACACTCTTCAACATCAACTTCATGTTCCGCGGTATTAATGCGATTCAAGGTCATCGTAACATCGGGACCGGATGACTTCAGGGCCACACTGGTTCCTGTGGTTGCTACAGCCATGGTGGTAGTTGGGCTGGGAACAACAGATGTTGATCCAGGCGATACTATTGTGGTTGACTGCGTTACCAATGCCGCATTTGTAGAGTTGCTTACCAAATTGTTGGTAACCGTTGGGGATATTGCATTGGTGGTAACGGCAGCGTTGTGGCCCGAGGACAATGAAATTGTACCGCCTACCATTTGGGCCCCACCGCCTGTGCTGTTAGTGGGTTGTTGTAAAACAATATTCTCGGTTACTGTTACCGTCGAAGCTGTAGGCGGGGTAGATAATGCATTGGTTAAGTTTGTGTTCAATGATGTGGCTGCTGAAGATGGGGTCGATGCCAGCACATTTGTTGTTGCTGCAGCATTGTTAAGTGTAATGCCTGTAGATGTGACCACCGTTGCCGCTTGTTGTTGCTGCTGGGGATGCTGTTGCACAGTTAGAATACCTTTGGAGGCTTGTATTTGCTGGAACTGCTGTAGCGTTACACTAGTTGGCGCAATACTCGCATGGGTGGGTTGCAAAATATGTGTTTGCTGCTGTTGTTGTTGATGTTGCGCTTGAGCTTGTTGTAATTGCTGAAATTGTTGCGGCTGCAAGTGAACAATTTGTGGCTGGGTCAATTGGGGTGAACTTGCTGTTGTTACATTATTCAAGGTCACAATACTGGCGGCTGCACCACTTGCCCCACCACCTCCACCACTACCTCCAAGTGAGGTTGCACTGTGTGGCGATGCTTGAATTATAATTTGTTTAGGGGCTGTTTGAAGGATTTGTGTAGGTGTTGAGGTTGTTGATGATTGTTGTTGCTGTTGTAATAATTGTTGTAAAGGTACAATATGTTGTATATTTTGTATGTGCACCGTTTGGGGCTGCGTTGTCGTTTGATGATGCTGCTGTTGCTGGGTCTGATGGTGCTGAGATGTTTGCTGTGCATTTAAGACTCCCGTGGCAATTACAGTTTGCTGCTGCTGTTGTTGTTGCTGCTGCGATGGCTGATGTTGCTGCTGTACAATATGTTGTTTCAAAATCTGATGTGTTGGCTGCTGTATCTGCAATGTTTGCGGCTGCTGCTGTTGTTGTTGCTGTTGTGACTGATGTTGGTGCGTTACCGTCGTTGTTTGCGGAATTTGCTGCACCGTTTGTACCACATGCTGAACCTGTTGCATTGGTACTTGTTTCGCTGGTATACCGGCATCTTCAAAAGCTTTCTTCTTTAATGCCTGTCTGATTTGAGTCCTGCCAATGGGAAGAAAAAGAAAGATGCAAAATATGATGTTAGTCATCTCTATTCTTAATAATATGTAAAAATGCCCTCTCGCTATATCCCTGTGAGAGGTTAAGAGGCTAATTAGGTTTATTTTCAACTTACACTGTCCTATTTTTTATGCTTAAACTGATTTTATTTAAATCATCTGAGAATCGTATTATTGATGCATGCAGCATATCAATTTCTTCATCAGTCCATTTTCTGTAAGATTTTTCAAATGGGAATTCCCGAGTTTGCAGAGTGTTTTTCAACAGAGAGTTGAAGGGTAGGTATTGTGGAATGATGGACGGACATAGCGAGAGAACAGAAAATAAGAATTAGTTTTTTCATAGGTTTTATATTTGTATAAAATATTGTGAAAATTTGTATTATGTATCTGAAATTCTGCTGTGATTATAACATTTGATGGGAGAAATTTTTTTGTAGGCCTAAGTATTTAGCTCAGCTCAATTCTTCTTCGTTTTCAAACAACTTTGAGGTTTTTCTGTCTGATGTGTCCTGAATGTTCTATAGATTTTCTTTAAAATTACTTTTAATGTTTAGAAAAATACTACTTCCATATAAGTTTCATATAATGTGAGCTTGGTTTGGCAGTTTTATTTACATCTTTATTAAAATTTGTTATTTGCACTTGAAAGAGGGTCTGAGGGTGTCATAAAGGCTCTTCTAAAAGTCCAAAACAATGAGAGAAATGTGTTAACAAAGCAGACTTATTTAGGTGGTGAATGGATAGGAATCCATCCACATATAGCATAATAACCTTCCTACTGTTATTTTATTGACAAGGTTTATCAGGATCAGCCACTCGGAGAAAATCAGAAAAAGAGATGGGATGTAAAAACAAAAATTAAATAAAGGGAGATGATTGAGCGTCTTCCAGGAAGAGTTCTATAAACCAGTCTTCATTTTAACTTTTCTGACTCCTATTATCTTATGAAACTTGTTCGTATTCTTCGGGATAACAACAATGAAGCGATATCAGCCCAGGAATGGCATTCGGAAAAAGGTAATAACTGCCCATATTAATACAATTTGTGATATTATCCTCATGAACTTCACCGACTTTGTGCTTTGTTGGATCTATAGAGATGTACTTGGAAAGTAGATGCAAGGTTTATTAGGATCAGGGTTGGGCATATTGCACTAAATTTTTAGTGCACTAAGAATTAAATAATTAGTGGTAGTGCAAGTTTTAATTCCACTACCACTAAAGGGTTAGTGGTAGTGAAAAATAAATTGCACTACCACTAACCCTTTAGTGATATTTAAAAAAAAATTGCACTACCACTAAATTTTAGTGGTAGTGAAATTTTATTTGCACTACCACTAAATTTAGTGATTTTTCAAATAAAATTTGCACTACCACTAAATTTTAGCGAAGCCAAAAAAAGCACTATGTATATAAGTATTATACCAGCTATAATGAAGTTTATTGAAGTGAGTAGGGAACAACAATCCAGAATATATAGTACATATTCATAAAATTTGATTACTTTTCTAAATAGCACTAATTTAGTGCTATTTTTTATGAAATACCACTAATTTAGTGCAAGTTTTTTTAAATACCACTAAATTTAGTGGTAGTGCTATTGAAATTTCACTACCACTAAAATTTAGTGGTAGTGCAATTTTTTTTTAAATATCACTAAAGGGTTAGTGATAGTGCAATTTATTTTTCACTACCACTAACCCTTTAGTGGTAGTGGAATTAAAAATTGCACTACCACTAAATGAACAGTGATAGTGAAATTATTAGTGCACTAAAAATACAGTGCATTATGCCCATCTCTGATTAGGATCAGCCACTCCGAACAAATCAGAAAACTAGATACATCCCAAGGCAAAAGAAAATAAATAAAAGGAGATGACTGAGCGTCTTCCAGCAAGAGTTCTATCAACCCGGCCGAGGAAGAGCCTTCATTTAAACTTTTCTGACTTCTATTATCCTATGAATCTTGAGTCCAGCCCAGAAATGGCATTCCGAAAAAATAATAACTGCACATATTAAAAAATTATGATACTTCCCCCATGGACTTCACTGAATTTGTGTTTTGTTGGATCTATGGAGATGACACTTGAAAACTGGATGCAAGACCAACTGGTCGTTTAGCTCGAGAAGAACCTCTGGGCATATTGACATGGCAGTATCAGAATATGACCTCTAAACATAACTGCTCCAGATTATTATAGGCTTCCGAGTATGAAGAATATATACGTTTGAGCTGCTACTATGCAAATGTCCCATGCTAGCAAACTGTAGACATAAGTTACTTGGTAGTTGGGAGGTAGAAACCCAAACGTTCTTCCTATTGCTAAAATCATATTCTACCTCCTACTACCAAAATACGTCCTCTTCCCTTTCCTATCGCCACTTCCTACGATGAACCAGCTGTAGCTGAGCATCCATCAACCAACCTAAGAGCTAAGCACTGAATTTATTTTATAACCAGTTTTTCTGTATTCTACATTACGACTAACATCAAATTTAAGATCTTAAGCTACGTTGACAAATATTTTCTAAAATTTTTACAAATTGGTAATTTTTTAGTATAATTGATGTACAAATGTGTAATCTTTTTTATACAAATCATTTTTAGTTATAGTTGTCTTGTGAATAAGGCATGGCTGGACGACCTAAGATGCTAGACCCATATTTTCTACTGACGGTATTGTATAAAAAAACTTTTTTTTTTTTGAAAATCTATTCAAATAAAAATCTATTGTTTTTGGAATTAATTTTAATAAAAAATTGAAAATTAATAACATCTCTATAAAATACATTGCATATAAAACAAAGTATATACAATATTATGACTTAATTTCACATATTCCAAATGTTTTAAATTCTGGTTGCTTCTGGAATTAATACTTCAAAACAAGACGAAAATTATTAGTTTATTTTCGTATCGACCTTGTTTAATAACTATTATGAGTTTTTCAATTCAATTTCAATTTTTGAAGTTGGCCAAGAATTGGACTAACTCTTCTTGATTGAATATCTTTTATATATTTCAGCAGAAATCACGAATATTAGAGTCTACTATTAATAGGTATATTAAATAACGAGCAAATCGGACCATAGCATGTCTTTTTTAAATATTTCTATACAATAAATTTAATACTCATGTAATCCTTTCTCTATTTAAGACAGTTCTAAACATAATTCTAAAAATATATCAGATACATAAACATCATTTAAAATATTTACATAAAATTAAAGATAAAATTAATAAATAGAACAAAAATACATACCCCGCTGGTGATTCTGCATTTGGATGTAATTGCATAGTTAAATCTCCTAAGCGACTAAAAGCCTGACCAGCAGCAGTGAATATTTCACCCACCTAAAATGAAATTGATAAAACAACAACAACATTCTTGTAAACAAATCGAATAAAATTCGTTATCAAAATAAAGCAAAACAACTGGTATGCAAATCTCTTCTTGTTCCTGGTTGTAAACAAACAAATCTCCAATGTCCGTCCTTTTGTTATAGAAGAGTTTAGCCCACCTAGGGGATACCCATTCTGCGGTAGAAGTTCACGCAGAAGCCCTGTACCACTCGAAGTGCCTGTTATGGACGGACGATTGTTTTTTAAACAAATTCATTAGTTTGTTTGCAAACAATTTTTGTCGTTCTTTCCTCTTGACCGCCCTAAGGAATTCAGACGATCTGACACTTGCCGAGCGAGAGTTGTTTTGGTGTTGTGGTGTGTGACATGAGTGAGTCGTCGTCGAGTTTTCCCGCACAAATTTTTTTAGAAGTTATTTTATTGGCAAACACTGCAGACGATGTTATTTGTTAAATTCCGATCAAAAAAACTTACTTTTGTGGCTGAATTCATGGTATTTTAATGAAAAAATCTTGAGATTTTCTAAATTATTCTGTGAAAATTATAATATTGTACAGTTGTCAAAAACAGCGTAGGTAACAGCGTTGTAAAAAAAATTGACAGCTACGTGGGTTATGTTGGGTTGGCTATCACAGGGTGATTCGTAGTAAGACAAAAGTAGCAATAAAAAAGACGCGAAATGAAATCAGCTAAATTAGATTTATGATATATTTTAAAATATAAGTAACTTAATTGTAAGGAATAAAAAATATATATTTTAAGTAGTAATATTTGCTTTTAGTGTTTTCGCAAGATATGTACGATTTATTGTACAACATTTTATTAAGATTAAGGAATTAAAAGTGATTTTTTGAGAGAGAAGAACGAAGTATAACAACAATTTTTTTATAATGGTAAAAAAGACGAATTTGTAAAGATTTTTTAATTGAATATGAAGAAAAAACCCTATTCTCAATAAAACTTGCTCAGCGTTTACAAAAGATATCGTCCTGTCTTTGCAGACGCAGTAATAGCACATTTATACAATTGAAGATTAACCCACTGAATCTATTTTAGTACATTTACATATAAATGGGTTAACACACTGGATTTGGATCAAAATTGTCATATCTATTTCTTATATTTCAAATAAATTCTCTTAAAGTAAGTTGACCCAACAAAAGGCATTGCATCCATTGGGTTAATCTTGTTTTTTTAGATACACCCATGGTACAATGAAGAGAAGGTAGGTCAACTTTGAAAAAATTGCAAGTATAGAGGTCTACCTGTTTGGCTTGTAATGTCAGAATTAGTATCAAAACAATAAAAAATCAAACAACTTGTTGCATTTATTTTGAATAAATAATTGAAAAACGCGATAACTGAATGAAAGGTTAGAACTTCTTTTCAAAATCATGTACTATATATCTCTAAAGGATTATTTCGCTACAAAAACTCTATATTTTGTCGATGCATACGTTGAAATAAACATTTTGAAAACACCCGAATTTGAATATGTTCTGAACAATTTTTTTGTTATTGAAAAGAAAACACATACACAAACAAATAAAGATGACATATTAAGCCAAGAAAATAAAAAAATTGAAATCATATGGTAGTTCTGCCCTACCTTAAATTCATTGTACCATGGATACACCCATGGTACAATGAATTCAAGGTAGGGCAGAACAACCATATGATTTCAATTTTTTTTATTTTTCTGGCTTAATATGTCAACTTCATATGTTTATGTGTGTGTATTTTTTCAATAATAAAAAATTGTTCAGGAAATATTCAAATTTGGGTGTTTTCAAAAAGCTTATTGCAACGTATACCTCGACAAAATCTACAGTTTTTGTCGCGAAATAAACCATAAGAGATATATAGAACATGATTTTGAAAAGAAATTTTGACCTTTCATTCATTTTTCGCGGTTTGAAATTATTTATTCAAAATGAATACAACAAGTTGTTTGATTTTTTATTGTTTTGAGAGTAATTCTGACATTACAAGCCAAACAGGTAGACCTCTATACTTGCAATTTTTTCAAAGTTGACCTACCTTCTCTTCATTGTACCATGGATACACCCATGGCTCAACTTCAATGAAACTTGGAAAAATGCAGCTCTGTACTGGAACCTTATTATGTCAAATGGACTTTTAAATATACATAAATGATAAATTATATACAACAATTGGTTTGGTTTATTTTGCATTTTTCTCCACAAAAAAATATATATATTGGGGAAAATTCACAAAACATGAATGAAATATTGGCTTTATCCACAAAATTGAAACCAAGATTCATTGACAATATTGCTTTATTCCAAATTTGTACATTTTGTTGCCTGTTAACCATGGTAAAATAATACAGGTAACAGCAAGTGTTGTTGTACAACAATTGTAACAACAACCAAATACAAATTTGTTTTTTGTAAATAATATATGTGTCAGAGTTATGTGTCCAAAAAAGTAAACAAAATAATTAATTTTTAATAAATTATTTTAATTTCAAAAATATACATTTTTGGAATTTGGATTATTAAATCGAAAATGCAGAAGAATACTTCTTAAAATATTTAATGTTAATGCTTTCATATCATTTTCCTGAATGTATAGTTGTTAGCTGTAGGTCCAATTCTCTCAACGCATCAAGCAATCGCTAGAAAATCGCGGAAAAGGCAACACCCCTTTCAAGTTAAAATCAAACAGCATACGATTTTGACACTAGTATTACAATAGAGTCAAATCAGCTGGGACTTGCTGTTACCTGTAGTAATTATACCATGCCTGTTAACTTAAGCTGGGAATACATAAAGCGCTTATTTGGCTGGCTTAAGTCAACGGCTGGCTTCTTCGGAAATGAACAAAGGAGCCTAGGCCCACAATCGAACTAGGTCAACCTAAAACTCCTTTGTTCATTTACGAAGAAGCCAGCCGATGACTTAAGCCAGCCAAATATGCGCTTTGTGTATTTCCAGCCTTAGAAAATATGAATTTCTGTTGTATCTAAATTTAAAATAATTTCAAACTATTTTCTTTTTTATGTGTTTGTTTTCTCTTTCGAGACGAGCGATTTTCTTTTTTATTCACAAGAATACATACACAGACTGTGTAGATATTTTGACAAAATAGAAATACCAAAAGAAAATAATGTATTTAGGAGGTATCTATGTTCTACCATCTGTTATTGTGTTATGGTACCTTTTCTTTTACGAAGAATCCAGCCGATGACTTAAAGGTGAGATTGCATGAAAGACTGACTTAAGTCATCGTCTAGCTTCTTCTGACTTTTATGTATTCTCACACAGAATGTGGAAAAATAAGTGTTTAATTACAGTGACGACCTTTTGCAAGGAAAATAATGCATATTCCAATGTACAGGGTTGCCCATATTCGACGAACCCTTCTAGCAACGCTATAACTTTTGACAGAGATGTCACATGGCTTAATGGCATACCGCGTTTGAAGCGTCAGTCCAAACCAATACACGCCACGCGAGCGCTTTTAAATAGTTGAAATTTACATTCAACAGAAGCTGTCGATTTTGAAAACTCAGCGTGCTTTTAAAACATTAAAAAATGTGAGAAGTGCGCCTTCTAAGAACACCATTAAGCTGGGAATACATAAAGCGCTCATTTGGCTGGCTTAAGTCATCGGTTGGCTTCTTCGGAAATGAACAAAGGAGCCTAGGGCCAAAATCGAACTAGGTCAACCCAAAATTCCTTTGTTCATCTACGAAGAAGCCAGCCGATGACTTAAGCCAGCCAAATATGCGCTTTATGTATTTCCAGCCTTAAGCGTTTATACGAAAAATTTTCGACTGGTAAGGCTCTTTCTAATCCGAAGAGGCCATATAAAAGTCGACCAAGGCGATCGGCCGAGACTATCGCTGCCGTACGAGCCAGTGTTGAGAGGTCCCCAAGAACATCCGCCGTTCTCAACAGTTGGGCATGGCTCGGTCCACTTTACAATGGATTATTCGCATTGATTTGCATTTGTTCCCGTACAAAATTCAATTGACGCAAAGAATGTTGCCTGCGGACAAGCCTCGTCGATTGGAATGGACCCAAAGAGTCATCGAAAAAACATGGGTCCGTCGAATATGGGCAACCCTGTATTATCATAAGCAAATATGATGATCGTCACCGGATCGTGAGAAGATCTATAGTTGTATGATAAATCTTTTTGAATAAACTCGGTTAAAGCTATAAATCTTGTTAATGTGGGTTAATTAAGATACAATTTTGAATGTAAACGCACTATTACAAAACAAAGCAGTTAAGGGCTAAGTACATAAGAAGCTTGAAGTCATGGCTAGGCATATTTTGTGACATTTCACAAAGGGATTACAGAGCCGCACTAAAATCCAGCCGTCGTTTTCCATTATAATTTGACATTAATATGCCTAGCCAAGACTACAAGCTTCTTATGTATTTAGCCATTTAAGCTTGACTTAGGCTGGAAATACATAAAGCGCATATTTGGCTGGCTTAAGTCATCGGCTGGCTTCTTCGTAGATGAACAAAGGAGTTTTAGGTTGACCTAGTTCGATTTTGGCCCTAGACTCCTTTGTTCATTTCCGAAGAAGCCAGCCGATGACTTAAGCCAGCCAAATAAGCGTTTTATGTATTCCCAGCTTTAGTTCAATTTCGGCCCATAATTAGAACTAGATCACGCTTTCTTTTTTACGAAAATGCCACACGGTATCTTATGCCAGAAAAACTCCTTTTGCATTCACTTCTTTATTTTCTGTCACCCCAGGTCAAAGCGCAATTAAAAGGTGTTGTCACAAATTTTTAAAATCAAATGAAATCTCAATCTTTTTACAATTCTGTCAATTCAATTATTGACAAATCACAATAGATTTACCGTATGTGTTCCATAGACAAATTTATTGCGATTGGTCAATTATCAGGGAGATTCTGTTTATAGCATGGTAGATGTATATAGGTAGATGCATCAACGTTTGGGAACATTGATATGTCAAAATTTTTAAAATGTTTTATGAAAAATAAGTGGATTTTTAGATGTTTTTTATACGACGCAAATCAGAGGTTGTTAAAATATGAACTTTTCAAAAATTTTTACAAATTTTAATCGTCATAAAACGAAGAACGCTTGCAAATCATTAAATTTGAATAAGCCACATTGAACCGTACTTCTTCAAAGATCGTAAAGTAAATGTGAATGGTGAGCGTAACTCTGCGAAGATATCCATTTTTTTGCCCAAAATGGAAAAGCTTTCTTGCATGACATGTATTTTCAATAAGACGGTGTCAGATGCTATATAGAACAGAAGAATTACCCTTCGGATAGAAATAATGAAATTTGTTACAAATTCCTTTTTACTTATTTTTTTTAAACTAAATTGAAGATGCCTCTGCGATAAAAATGCAGTGACAGTCAATTACAT